AATCCAGAAAACACCTTCTTAAATTGCTTGCATCTCTCGTAGCCGCCTTTGTAATCTGCTGCATGCCATTCGCTGTATTTTTCTTGTATGTTAGTTTTGTTTCACAGGTTACGATAATCGAAAACTTTGACACACTTCACCTGATCCACAAAACAGTTCGTTTTCTCCTCATTCTTAACTCTTTCGTAAATCCTCTTCTCTACGCCGCACAAAGCCCAAATTATAGACAGGGATTTAAAAGATTATTTTGCTGTCTTTCTAGAGAAAATGCAAATAAAGGAAGAAATGATTTGGAAATGAAAAATCAAGGACAGATTTTAAAACAGCAGTCCTTATGTAGTTATGAGAATACAAGTAATGCTCAAACAGATCACTGAATAATCTGCAGGATTCTAACATGCCTCAAACTTTTGTGGTTAGTGTGTAAAATAAAGAAAATAACTCAAAGAAGTAATATCTAATTGCAGGAAAATATTAATACCCCCCAAAATCCACAAACATATAACTTAAAATATATAAATAGATATAAAAATAGATCAAAATTGGTCACTAGAGATTAAGAACAGTAAAAGTTAGCTCATTTCACATTTATGTCAAAACAATGAAGATTAAAAACCTGAAAGTTTGATAAAATATGGTGATATGATCAAAAGTTAATGTGGCTCTAAAAACTGTCACACTTTATACTATTTGCACTCTGATCGAATGTTTGCACCAGCTGGTCATAATGTGTTTACTTTACGATAAAGGCAGCCTTTTTTAAAGGCGACTCCGTTCCTCTGTATTTATCTAGCCTAATGAAAAATGGGCACAGGACCAATGATTGAGCGTCTAAATAACAGAAAGTAAAAAAAAGCAGAGACCTAAAATCACTTCTTCTATACTTGTCACGAAAGACTTAAATAAATCCAATTACTTGAGCGAGAAGCAATTTATAACTTCACTTTCAAAACTCATTGAGCTCAACAACCTGTCAAGTCCGCTAAAATCCGTCACGTGCTCGTGTTTTAAACCCCGGTAAAACACTGTAAAACTTTAAAAATGTCATCCTCATTAGTATTCTTTATATACAAAATACTAAGAAGGATGACATTTTATTTCATTGCACGTGACCTATGAATATTAATTATCAGCACAGCAACTAACACAACAAATGGTGAGTGAATATTTAATGTTCTTTCAAAACAACACACGCAGTAAATTTTAACTATTGCAAAAAATTAAACTTTGTTCTTTCGCCAATTTAATCAGCCAAAAGTTCAGTGACACAACGGTAATATTGGCTATTGCAGTGTCCAAGCGTTGCACTCCAGACTTGCCAGTTGTGAATGTGCAAGGCTCGAGTACTGGATTTTTGTTTTCCTACCATTCGGCCATTCCAGGAAATTTGTTTCAAAGAAACCATTTTCAGTTAACTTCTTCTCTTCCTGGGCATTTTTAGGCTTCTAAAAAGCTCTGGAACAAGATGCTATGAGGAGCACTCAACGACGATTCCCTCCTAAATGCCTTGAAAACATGTACACTTTTTAGGCTATCCAAAGTACTTTTAGATCTTTAGAAATACATTCTTATTGGCGCTATAAAATTTATATCTGTTGAGTCATCCTAGGGCAACTTGAAACTTTTCGAAATTAACAGGGCTTCAGTATTATTTTCCCGAAAATTTTAGATGCAATTTAAAGTTTTACAAAGGTGAGGATTTTTCTGATTCCTCTTTCCATCGCATCTTCGAATCCGAAAATTTTAGGTTTCCTTTTTCTGTGAAAAATAGCTTAATCCGGGGAGTGAAATGCAAAAAATTAAACTACAGAAAATCGTAGGGAATTTATTAGATAAGCTTTGAAAATTATACTTGAATGGAACGGTCATCTAGATATTCTTAACCTTCCCATATTGCACAGAAAAAATGTAAACTGATTATACGGTATTCTGATATTTGAATGCCCTTAATTGGCTCTTACTCGGTTTTATTTCATTTTCTTAGCAGCCATTTATAGGGTTTGATAGACTGTGCTAACATAATTTTTGGCATAATTCGTCCTTATGAGCATAATTTTCACATATTTTCCGAAAAAAAGCTCTGCTAGCATAAATTTTTTTGGCCCAAGATCGGTGTTACACGCAAATTAGAGCAACAAACTCATTTTTTTTGTCCGCTTATTGTGACTTTCATGGTACTTTACACAGGGCTCTTCCTACAGGCCTCAACGCATGCCCATAACATTGTAGCCCCTTACCCAAAGTGGCGTCTGCGTGCTGGTTTTGTTTGAGTGTTTTTAGTTGTCAGACAAGGCCAAGGAATTATGTAGTCTTAACGTTTGTAGATGTAAACAGAAAAAAAATCTCACAGAAAATCTGGCTTAAAGTTCTTCAGTTCATTGAGAGCCTTAAACGATTCGCGGAAGAAATCCATTCATGTCCAATACTCTCAACTAGATTCCAGTGGACAAAACCTGGATTCCAAAGGAGACTAGTCGAAAAATGAAACCGCGGAAGTACATTCGACTCCAGTTGAGTTACCGGAAGTCTAGTCATAAGATGAAACCGGATGTGTAAACAATACTTTGAGGAGGGTTGGAAAGTCGTCCGATGGAGTCCATCGGATCTGCTGGAAACGTATCGATTCCGATGGAATCTCTGGAAGTCTAGTCGTGCCATGAGCCAAAACAAGCACGCTGCATCTGTAACATAACTCGTTCTTTAAGCCCTAAGTCGAGACTATCAGGCCTAATCTGTAACATAACTCTTTCTTAAAGCGATGAGTCGAAACAAGCATGCTACACATATGAAGTAACTCGTGCGTTCTTAAAACAATGAGTTGAAACAACCACGCTACACTTGTAACATAACTCGTTCTTAAAGCGATGAGTCCAAACAAGCACGCTACTCGTTCAATGGTCGACCATACCAACAGCTCGCGCGCCAAACTAAGTGCTTGGAAACATCTGACTTTGGGAATCCTAAAAGTTCTAGAGTAACTGAACATTGGGCACGAATGGAAAGGAGTTTCCTAATCCAGAGTTTAAACGTTCATCGTGACATTCTAGACTTGGACGGCTCCACAGTTATAAGCATGACCAGATAGTGGGGTTGAACCTCACCAACCTTCCCCTACACAAGAAGAAAGCCGTTCTTAACAAGGTCGAGAATGGTGGCAGTGGTGAATTCTTCAAAACCTAGTTTGGCAGCTCTTACTATTGGGAAAAAACACTCAGTGTTAGAGGAATCACAGCCATAGAAGTTTCCTTGAAGGTCACCGCTGAACGGAAGGACACACTCAAAATGCTCGTGTATAGTTAGAAAGATATCAGATAAATTTCATAGGATGCACCAACCATATCTTTTTAGTAGTTTTTTGGCAGGGATAATACCGTCAAACTTGAAAACGTTGGCCAAACTTTTTCAGTCTTCAATTCGTGTCCATTGTTGCCAATCGTTGCAAAAGTCGACAGGAGACAGCATTTTTAAGTGCCTAAATAAGCCTAAATACGGTCTTAAACAACGAAACTGGAACAATATTTTTGGAATTCAATTGATGCGAAAAAGGTTTTAGCCTTTCAAAAAGATAGTCCTCATTCGCTATGAAACTTCATTAATTCCTTGTAAATGACAAAATGAGAGTTTCGTGTCGAACAAATCTAGTCTCCCAAGAATATCAAATATATAAATCTATTATATAGACACGAGTGTTTTACTGGAAAATATACCAGTCGTAAAATTCATAAAAACTACATCCGGGACCCGAGTCGTTTATTTTCCATAATCTCGCACGTGAGTTTATCGATGACGTAATGTCGGTAATTTCCCTCTATTATTTTATCAATGTCTTTTTGTCCATATAATAGAAAGAACATTACACGGCGGCTTGAAGATATGAATTTTATTTTCGGGTGGCAAAAACAATATTTTACTCACTCGCTGCGCTTGTTCGTAAAATATTTTTTTGCCACTCGAAAATATAATTCACATCTTCGCGCCACCGTGTAATATCCTCTATATACAAATATTACATCAAACGCAACAAACAACAAAATTAAATGGAAATTTGAAAAATTTTAAGCTGACAAGTTTTCAAAAGCACAAAAGCAACCCGTTTCAATCTTCTTCAAGTTTGTCTATCTGTTTCTCTTCCTGTTTTCTCTTCTCTTCCTTCCTGTTCCTCTACCTTCTTTTCATATCCTGAGCTGTTATTTTTATGTTTCACTCATTTTGGTGGTGGTTCCCACTGTTTGGAATCGATAAATTTCGTGTCATTGCTCCTTTAACGTCGGGCTATATTAACGAAGTGTGTCCGAGGTGATGAAAATACCGATGAAAAAAATCCAGCCGTGATTGGTCAGATTAGACTGAAACTCATTTCTGGGAGGCGGAGATTGTAGGTTGGACAAGCTAACTACTCAGCCACGCTCAGCTCCATAATATTTCAGTAGTTTTTGCCCAAAACTTCTGAAAAGCAGAAAATATTAAAAAGCCAATCCATTGAAAACAACCTGGGATCATACGCACTTTTATTCCGATAGAAAGTCAAGCGTTTTCTTCCTAATTACAATGGGGAAGATACATTACTTGTTAAGCATTAAAAGAAGGTTGTTTCTCTTTGAACTAGTTCTCAGTCTCTTGCGAATAATCCCTCTGCGCCTCCTAGCCCCCAGTCCCTTAATAATATGCTCCACTGACGTCAGTCAGTCCTCAATTACTAAGAACATCCCCGGGCTTTTTCTTTTTCAAAAAGGATTTCTTTCTTACTTTTATTGTTCCTTTTATTTCATTTCTAAATGTCTTGGAAGATACAAAAGAAAGTATTAAGATGCAAAAAATTTGTGCGGCTCTCACTTGGAAACTACTATAAGCCGACAGCTGTAATTAGGTTGGATTTGTGTAAGCAGGCTCGGGACATACGTTCGAACAGGTGTTACCTTAAACTCCTTCTTCCGCTTTCACAACTTGATCACGTTTATATTTCCTACTCCTGTTAGCCATTCGTAAACTTTGGTCTCTACCAGCGTTTGCGTTATTTCTACAACATAAATATTTCTTCAGAGCAAGTCTGTAATTCGGGCTCTGGGCAGCGTATAACAGTGGATTAACAAAAGAATTGGAAAAGGCAAGAAAACGAACAATTCTGAGCGTGAGTAACAAAGATGTGTCCGATTTAGCGTCCCTCACATCGTGCGCAGGGACATAGAAAAAAAATCCTGCAAACGGAAGGCACAATACGCAAAATGCCACTGCTAAAGAAACCAGAAGTTTTAAAAGCTTTTGCGTCTTCTTTCGATTCATTTTGTCTGGTAGCGAGTCTCCTGGGCCCCTCTTCAATGCTGAGAAGACAGAAATATAGCAGAATAGAATTATAGCAGAGGGAAACACGATCAAAACGACAGAATGAGTGACAGTGTAAGTTTTCACCAGGAAAGACTGATTAAGAACGGTCCATGGACGGGTGCAAGGTCTGCAGAAATGCAAGGGACTTCGATTATTGATATGCTTGGTCAATAAAATGTCCGGAAAGCTTGAAGTAACTGCCATTACCCAAATAATGACAATAGCCAGGGATACTCTCTTTTTCGTGAGAGCCCAGTCGTTGTTGAATGGTTTAACGATACCATTGAACCGTTCTATTGCAATGACACAAAGAGTTAAAATCGAGGCGTCCCAGGCGACACAAACAGTGGCGTTTCCAAAGAAAAGCTTGCACATGACGTCTCCAACTGTTGCACCGAGTTGGACGTTTTTTAGAGCAAATTCATAGAAACCGGGGCAAAACAACAGCGCTATCAAATCGCCAACAGCCAGGTTCAACAGTAAGTAGTTAGTTGGCGTGTGCATTGAAGGCGTGTTGCGCACGATGGTGATAACAATTACGTTCCCCAAGACGCCAAAGAAAACGATCAACGAGTACAATGTGGCGAAAACGATTTCTTCAGTAGAAATGGGTAAAGAGCAGTTATAGCTTCTGTTCATCTCCGAAAGTAAAAACACTTGAACTGACAACTCCAAGTTTGACCTTATGCACAGTGTTTTCACTTGATATTAAAACCAATGAACGCAAGGGCGGCAATTTATCTTTTTGGAAGAATTGTATTCTGCTTTATTATTGGCTTAAAAATATTATAAAAGCTGACTGTCAAATATCGGGCCCTCATTTTTCCACCTGCAGTTAAATTGCCATGACCTAGCAGCCTGAATGGATACAAAACTACCCCTCTTTATACATGGGACGTCAATTTGCGGAAAATATCTGTTCGGAAGACGATTTGAGATCTAGAGTTTCGGAACATTTGTTGTAAAATTTCTTGCTTGCCTGCCTCTCCTAGGATATTCGAACATCTAAAAAATGGTATAATTGCCCATTTTTTAACGGATTTTTACCCTAAAAAGGTCACCTAGAATTTTCGGGAACCTTTTTTCTGGCTGAAATTTTCGAAAACTAGGTAACTTTTGATCCTTATAATTTTCGGGTCTCTAGGCTTTCAGTTAGGAATTCCGAACAGATGAAAAATTTTTAGGGGATAAAAATATGCCTATATCTCCCTTTTAAATACTAAAATATGTTTAACAATGATGCAACCAATTAACGTTCAACCATCTGTAAACATGTCATTTATCATTTACTTAACATAAAGGTAGCTAATGACCGTTTTATAACTGGGAAAGACGTTCGGACAAAACCTGAAATTGTGGCGCTG